CCTTGCTGCCCTTGTTGGAGGCATCGGAGACTCGATTGAGGCAGCAGTCTTGCCTCACTGTATTAAGCAAGTCCTTGTTGATAATAGGGACGTGATGTCGGAAGAACTTCCCCAACGGTTGCCACCACGAAGGGAGGTTGATCACCAAATCGAACTGGTTTCCGGGGCAAAGCCACCTGCCATGACGCCTTATCGTATGGCGCCCCTGAGTTGGAGGAACTAAGGAAGCAACTCAAGGAGTTGCTGGACGCGGGACATATTAGGCCTTCTAAGGCGTCTTTTGGTGCGCCTGTTTTGTTCCAAAAGAAGAAGGAAGGGACGTTGCGGTTATGTATTGATTATCGAGCCCTCAACAAGGTCACGGTGAAGAACAAATATCCTATTCCTTTGATTGCAGATTTATTTGATCGTTTAGGACAGGCCAAGGTGTTCACGAAGATGGACTTAAAGAAGGGTTATTACCATGTCTGGATTGCCGAGGGTGACGAACCAAAGACAACTTGCGTCACTCGTTACGGTGCTTTTGAGTGGATGGTCATGCCTTTCGGCTTGACGAACGCACCAGCTACGTTTTGTACATTGATGAACAAGCTGTTCCATCCCTTTTTAGATCAGTTTGTAGTCATTTATTTGGACGACATAGTCGCTTATAGCAACAACATAGAGGAGCATGTTGAGCACTTGTGCAAAGTGTTCAAGGTGTTGCGTGATAACGATTTGTATGTGAAGCGGGAAAAATGTAGCTTCGCCCAGCCCACCGTCCAGTTTCTTGGTCACACGATCTGCCATGGCGAAATAAGGATGGACAGTGACAAAGTGGAGGCAATTCAGGATTGGGAGGCTCCAACGAAGGTACCAGAATTGCGGTCCTTTCTTGGCCTCACCAATTACTATCGGTGTTTCATATTTGGCTATTTTGCTATTGCTACTCCACTCACCGACTTGCTGAAAAAGAGTCGTGAGTGGGAGTGGACTAATTTGTGTCAAACTTCCTTTGAAAAGCTAAAGGTAGCCATTACCGATGAGCCGGTCTTAGTGCTGCCAGATTTCACCAAGGCGTTTGTATGTGCCGAAGTGGGCTAGTCTTCGGCGTACTTTGATCAAAGAGGGTCATGATACGATGTGGGCTGGTCACCCGGGGCAGAAGAGAACGTTGGCTTTGCTGGAATCCTCTTATTATTGGCCTTGAATGCGGGATGACATTGAGGTCTATGTGCGTACTTGCCTCGTTTGTCAACAAGACAAAGTTGAAACGAAGGCGTCGGGTGGACTACTTGAGCCACTGCCTATTGCTGAGAAACCATGGGACGGCGTCACCATGGATTTCATCACTTGCTTACCGAATTTGGAGGGGTTCGGGACCATCATGGTTGTTGTTGATCGCTTCTCGAAATACGCAACCTTCACTGCCACGACAGCCAGTTGCAAAGCCAAAGAGGCAGCCCATATATTCTTGCGAGATGTCGTGAAACATTGGGGTATAACCAAGCACATTATTAGTGATCGAGATCCTCGATTCACTGGTACGTTTTGGAGGGAGTTATTCAGCTTACTTGGGTCAGAGTTGCATTTTTCGACCAACTTTCATCCCCAAACGGATGGACAGACGGAGCGGATCAACGCACTCCCTGGAGTGCTATTTGCGGCACTATGTTAGTGCCAATCAGAAGGACTGGGAAAAATTGCTAGACATTGCCCAGTTCTCCTATAATTTGCAGCGGAGTGAGGCGACGGGGAGAAGTCCATTTGAGTTGGCGACCGGACAGCAGCCCAACACGCCACAATCCTTGCCCGTCGATGCCGATTTGAAGAGTCCGGGTGCCTATCACAAGGCGAAAGCCTGGGAGGAACAAGTTGATCTTGCACGATTTTATCTTGATAAGGCAACCCAAAAAATGAAGAAGTTTGCTGATCGGAAGCGACGGCCAGTCGACTATCGAATTGGGGATCGAGTTATGGTGAAACTGAACCCTAGACAATTCAAGTCGCTACGAGGGGTGAGTCAAAGTTTGATTCGTCGCTATGAAGGTCCCTTCAAGATTATTGATAAGGCTGGCAAAATCTCGTATCGGGTTGACATGCCCCATCACTTGAAGATACATCCAGTCTTTCATGCGAGTCAATTGAAGCCATATTTCGAAAACGAGGGTCGGGGGCAAACCGGTAGAGCTCAAATATTCATTAGTTCACCAGCCGTGGGCAAACATATCGAGGCAATTATTGATCACCAACTGGTTCGCGGTAAGGGCTGGAACAATTCGAGCTCGCAGTTCCTTGTCTATTGGAAAGGAACGGCACCGGAGGAGGCAACGTGGGAGAAGTACAAGGACTTGTGGAAATTCCGTGACAAAGTCCATTCTTATTTGCAGGTGTGTGGCCCCGGGGTTGTCGCCAAATCAGGTGGGGGAGCGTGTACGGCCCCGCAAGGAGCTACATTAAATTCCAGCCGCTCCAGGGGCGAGGCAGATTCGAGTTGCGCTGCAGCGGGTCTCAAACCGCACATTGATTATTTTCCAACTTTCGGATGTGACTTGGAGACCTTTGGAGAAGCATGTAGCAGCCAAGACTTTCAGCCAAAAAGGGGCCCCAGCCGCAGGGACAAGGCTGCCTTAAATTAAGGAACACTCCACCTTGTCCCACTATACCTTTGACTTTGTAAAGACAAGCTTGTAGTCCATTATTTTTAGGGAACTTGTCCCCATCGTTTTTAGCTTTGTTTTTCAGCCTTTAAACATATATTGTAGTGGTTCACTTGGATGTAGATCACTTAGAAAAATATCAAGAAAATTAGCACTTGCCTCCCAAAGTTTGCTTCCTCGATTTACTTTCTCGTTGGCTGTTTGTATGGACTGTTTTAGACAGATTGTTGCTGCACGTTTTGAGTGCTTGTTTGTGTTAGGACTAAGCATCCGAAGAGCTGTGCAAGCCTTCATTTGCTGTCCCACGAGCCCTCGAAAAATAGGCCCGTGACACACTACCTCTACTACCACACCCACTTAATTTGCTTCTTAAATCTCTCAATCCTCATAAATTTCTCAACTGAATCAAAATTCAAATTTTGAATCAACCCTCCTAATTTCGCAAAATTAAAAAAAAAGTGGATAACTTAAAATATTGATGTATCTATGGCTATATTTTCTCAAGTTATAACTCATTTGTTTTATGATATCTTTAGAAGTAGTTATTTTGACACAAATAATTAACACTATCTCATTCTTCAATTCACCTTTGATTAAGTTTTTTCTCCTCTCATCTCTTGTATCACCAGTAAATTCTTCTCCCTTTCTTGTCTTTCCTTAATTTTATTCTTTCATATTTAGTTCTTATGATTTCATATATGATATTTGTGTTATCTTTTAATAGATGTATTGTTTTTATCCAAACTCTCCATCTGTGTCTAAATTTATTTTTTGTTGTAAGATCTTTCTTTTTTATTCTTCAATAAACAAATTATGTTAACTATTATGAATGTCTCATCAAGTTGAAATATAATGCTAAGAAGACACCTAAAGTTAACATTGTTAGATAAGAATTATAAAAACAAAGTCACGCCTGATGCAATTTAAATAATACTTGAATGTGTGAAATTCACATATAATACTTATATACATTTAAAATGTATTAGTTATGTATTCATTACGTTCATTGAAACATACTCATAATATATATAATATATTGAATTCAAAATGTATTGTTATTATCGTTTACTTTTTTTTAATCTTATTAACAATGTTAAAATTATATTATACCTGAATTTTTTTAAAACATTTAAAAAATATTTATATTAATTTATGTGTTATTATATTAAAACCATATCAAAAATATATTATATATGTACTAGTAAAATTATTCGTGCTTCGCGCGGAAATTTGATATCACAAAATTTATAAAATAATATTTAAAAACCTATCGGTCATTAAAACTAAACCACTATGTTGTCTTACATACAAGATTACGTAGTAACGAACATTATTAGTATAAAGGAAAATGATAATTATAACATCTTATCATTTATCCTTCAATCAATCATCTTTAATTTGATTTTATAATTTATCCTTTTGCCTCTAGAAAGTGTTACTATTTGATATTTTTGGAAAATTAGATGAACATCAACATGAGATATTAAATATTCTAATAAATCAATAATCTTTATATGTACTAACAAATACTTATAACAATAAGTTTACATAAACATAAACAACAAAGTTTAAAATATGTACTCAAAATCAACAATTAATATCATAAGCATAAATTAATGACTGTAAAAAATATACCGGGATCTATAACAATTGAATGAAACGGAAAGGAAAAAATTGAGCCCACTGAATGCATAATTTCCCCTTAAGGAAATTATTCCCCTCTAGTATCCGAGGTTTAAAGGAATAGATCCTCTCAGGATAGAATGATTTTATTCACAAGTGCATTGATACAAAAACAATGGTGTCAGTGAGCCACTCAACATGAGCAAAATACACGAATATTTAATTGTGAAAAAGAAGAAGAAGAAGTTTAGAATTTTCGTTGTTTGAAAATGGAGGAAATCTCTCTATTTATAGACAAAAAAGATAGTGTGATCAAATGCTTATTGTGCCTTATCGGAAATGTCATAACTCTTTGGAAAAATTACAACCCTTCAGAAAGGTCACAACCTTTCATAAAAGTCATTATTTTTCATAAAAGTCGCAACTCTTCATAAAAGTCGCAACTGTTTATTAAAGTTATAATTTTTCATAAAAGTCACATCTTTTCATGAAAGGGGAAGGGTACTTTTGGATATAAATAAATTTAAAAGGAAATTCTTGCTTGTGGTGACGCCACGTAGGCGGGCCTAGGATTCTCTTTTATATAAATATATGATATATGATATATGATTTAACTATTTTTATAAGACAAATAAGACTAATATGTGTATAAAAGTAAAAAAAATGTGTTAGTAACTCATAAATTGGCCTATTTTGTGTACTTCTCCCCAAAAAGATTCGAAGCACAAAAATAACATTTTCAAGTCGGATTCGGGTCTTGGATTCAGTCGGGTCAATCGTCTTCTAGGGTTTTGTTGGTCTGCGGGGTTTTACCAGCACATGACCAACTTCCTAGCTCCATCTTCAAAAAAACTCATCAATGTAGACAAAAAGTGTCTGCCTGAATCTCTCTCTTATTCTCTTTATGCTGTATTTTAGGTTTCTTGGTATTATATACTGGAAATGTTATGGAAATGGTTCTCCATTGGAAGAATAGCTTCACATCGAATGCTCAAAATGGAATCTTTGGCCTCATTTCGAAGTCTATGCTCACAAATTCAATGTTTTGCTGATACCCCACAAGGTTCTTTTTCCTCTAGACATTACCAGAAGTTTCCTGAAAATCCCAGAATCATATTAACCCCTAGAATTGTACATACTACTTTATCAAATTGCCGTTCTGACATTCTTGCTTTTTCGTTTTTCTTGTGGTGTGCAAGGCAACCTAATTACTTTCATGATAGGGGCATATTGACCCTTATAGTTAATATTGTGTCTCGGTTGACGCAGAGGTTTAGAACAGTGAAAGGGATTATTAAGGGATTAGAGGAGGTTGGTTGTGTAATAAAGCCACAAACTTTGTTGTTTTTATTGAGAATTTACTGGTTTGGTGGAATGTATGATAGAGTTTTCGAGGCATTTGAGGAAATACTTAGATATGGTTATACACCAAATACTTTTTCTAGGAATATTGTAATGGATGTATTGTTCAAGATTGAGCGTGTCGAAGTGGCACTTAGAGTTTTGAAAGAAACGGAGGTTCCAAATTTTTTGTCGTATAGCATTGCTGTGTGTAACTTGTGTAAGCTCAATGATTTGGTTAATCTTCAGGATGTACTTACAATAATGCTGAGGAAAAGGTATTATCCTAATGAGGAGACATTTTTTGTGATTTTGAATTGTTATTGTAAAGGAGGTTGCATAGCAGAGGCAAAACAGATATTGGGTGTGATGATAGTTTTGGGTGCTCCTATATGTGAGAGAATCTGGAGTATATTAATTGATGTTCACTGTAAAGCTGGGAACATGGATGCTGCGAGTCATTTACTTAAGAAGATGGTAGAGAGTGGGTATTCACCAAACGTTGTAACTTGCACATCATTGATCAAGGGATTTTTTGATTCCCAGATGCCAAGCAAGGCATTTGGGATCTTGGATACCATGGAATCAAAAGGATGCTCCCCTGATTTGGTTCTTTGTAATGTGTTAATAGACTGCCTCTCTAAAATGGGGAGGTATGAAGATGCAATTAATGCTTTCTTCCTTTTGCGGGAGCAAAGACTAATGCCCGATTCTTATACTCTTTGTTCTTTGATTACAACCGTTTGTCTCTCTAAGCAATTCGTTGAACTACCTCTGCTCATAACTGGATTCAAGATCCAACCTGATTTAGTTGCTTGTAACTCTTTCCTTAGCTATTTCTGCAAAGCTGGTTATCCTGCTGGTGCCATTGAATTTTACAATGACATGATAGATAGAGGTTTCGTAGCAGATAAGTATACCTTTGCTGGATTATTGACTGGATTATGCAGGTCAGGTAGGATAGGAGAGGCAGTCAAGGTGTACCGTGGACTTGTTAGAAGTCACGTTGGGCTTGATTCTCACATAATTACTGTGATAATAAATGGGCTAATAAAATCTGGTAAATTTCACAAAGCTATTAGCTTAATCAGGAAAGCTGCTTCAGGGAAGCCCCAACTCGATACTGTTTCTTACACTATTGCCATTAGTGGACTTCTTACTGGTGGTGAAGTTGGAGAAGCTTATGCCTTGTTCCGCCAAATGAAGGAGGTTGGTCTAGCCCCAAGTAGACAGACCTATAATCTGATTCTCTCGGGTTTCTGTAAAAGAAGTGATGTTAGCATGGTTGAAGAGATCTTACTTGAAATGGTTAATGCTAGTGTTGAAGTTGACCATTTAAGTCTGAGGTTTATGAAAAATCTCCTGTATAGATCCCGCCATTCTGCTTCACTCTTTACTCTATTGACTGACGTTTCAACTTCCGGAATCCTTCCAAGGGAAGCATATGCAGAATTGATCGATGAGCTAGTTCATCAGGTAAACATCAGCAATGTGCACACAGACAGGTCTACTAGCGTTGATTTTGGCGCATCCAGCTCAGATGAAATCCAAGAGGTGGCTGTTTCAGTTGGTTGAGATGATTTGACTTGACAGCTTATTCTGTCTATGGCAAAGTTCTGTAGTTGAGTTCATCAAGAATCTGACCTTACTCTCGCTCGGAAACCCTAAGATGATCATATGATCTTAAGAGTGAATTGATTCCCTAAAGGTACCATCCAAACTCCAAATAACTAACAAACATTTTCAAATAGACTGCTCTTCTATCATGCAACTTGTTTTAACCATTTGTTTTCTTTACAATGTTTTTTCCTTTTCCCCCTTTTTGGGGTCTGCTGATTTTGTCCTAAATGAGTGGTCACTGTTTATAGAATTGTGGGGGGGGGGGGGGGGGGGGATTATGTTCTGTATAAGTAAACAAGTGCGCTTTAAAGGGAGCTTACAAACCAAGATCAAAAAAATTGTCAATAGAGACTCGTAGAACTTTGAACTCACGATACTAAGGGCCCGTTTGGATTGGCTTAAAAAAAGTAGCTTGTAAGTCAAAAATAAAATGTCAAACTGAAATGACTTTTAAGTCAAAAAATAAAAAGTAGGGGGAGACCTACTTTTGGATTTTGACTTATTTTAAGTCATTTTAAACTTATTTTAAGTCATTCTTGACCTTGCCAAACACTTCTCAACTTATTTTAAGTCATTTTTGACTTGTTTTAAGTTATTTTTTATATTTGCCAAACACTTCCAGAAGTCAAAAACTGACTTAAAAGTAGATTTGACCAACTTTTAAGCCAATCCAAACACCCTCTAAACTATGTTGTCTCACTAATGCTGTTGAATTTTTTTTCTATAGATTACTTATGTGCAAATTTTTTAGTCATTGGTGTTGGTATAAGGATGACATCATTCATGAGCTTAGAAGTTTGTCAAGACTTTGGACTAGAAGTTTGTCGCTGTTTGGTCTGTAATCTGTATGCAGTGTCATTGCTACATTGAAAAAGGTCAATCCGTAAAAAAATTGAAACTTCATTTTAGTAATGCTTTCTTGTTATGCATTGGTGTTAAAAAAGTTAGTGTCTGGTGATTGAGTCATGCATTTTCTGATATCCTGAAGTGATTCTCGAATTTAGGAGTCTCCATCTGACTGTCTGTTTACTGTTATTCTCAACTGTAAAATTTACCGGTGACATGAGTTGCACTGATATCTGGTGAAAGCACTGGAGATATAAAATTCTTCAGCCCTGATACTATCACTTGGAATCTGGAAGCTACATGTTGATGCTCACGATTTTGATAACCACTCCAGTAATTTGGAGATCTCTCGTAAAGTATTTACATTTTTTGTAAAGCAGGATTTATATTACCAGGCTGATTCTTCTAATAGACTCTTGGTTAATGCCTTAAAGAATAGACTATATTTTGAGCTATAGATGCTCTTGGGCTGTAGTATAGGAATGACACCTATCCTTTAATGTTGTGTAGGAGGAGGATATTGAACCATAGAAGTGTGCCTGAAGTGATAATACAGCAAAAAGAATCCATGAGATGTGGTATGTATACTGTTGCCTCTGTAAAACTTGATTTCAAAGATTTCAATTAACTCACTCTCTCATGCAGGTTGGTTAGCTAAATGCTGAGTGATACTGTAATCCTTTGCTTGTGTGATTTGCGAAATGGTGTTGAAAAGATCTCATGAACCCTGGGGCTCGGCAGACTGTTCTTGTTGCTCCCACAACTGGAGCTATGAGCAAGATGGAGGTACTGAATTCACCTAACTGAATGATTTTGTCTGTTACTCTTGTAAAGGTTGGACTGTCAGTCTGTGAGGTTGGTCTCTGTGAATTGTTGCTGGTGGAACATACCAAGTTGCCTTTTGTGTGATTATCACTACTTGGAGTCTGAAGTAAAGTAGTCTGAAGTAGATCTCTCCATAGGAGAAACCTTTCACTGACTTAAGGAATATAGAAATTATGGTTATTTTATAGCAAACTCTAAATGTTTTAGCCACCGTTATTGTTAGACTAATGGGCTTTTCCAAAACTTAGTTGTTACATGCAAAAGTAAGATAAATATCTACTATGTACTGCAGTATTGGAATCTTCTTTATCTAAGGGATATAATTCTGCTTGACAAATAAAAAGAAACTTATTGGTGCGTGTCTCGATCTTTTTCTAGTGGTCTTGGCTTATGTAATGTCAGCATGAACTGGTCATGCCTTGTGGGTCGACATGATACTGTCATTCAAGTCCATTTAAAATGTGCTCTGTTGCTTAGTCATTATTATTTCAATTTATTCAGCATTTGTCTGGAAGATGATGTTGTTATGCTCCCCATGAAAGCTGGTATGTGGAGGTAGTAGCTTATCCAATCTGGAAGTGTACCAGATACAGAACACATGGTGTCCTGTTAGGCCATTCTTCCTAGTATAATCCCCATGTGATTAATCATCATTAGTCACATATTTGGCAAGTGCTTGGAATGCAATATAGGAGCTTGCCAACTATGATGTTCGAATGCTTATTTCTTGGTGTACTAAACTCTGTAAGGTCCCGTCATACAGTTGAAGCTAGAAGATGGGAAGAGAATATTTTTCTGGTATGACGATTGGGTGGGGAGGGAATACTACTCCTGTACGAGACAGGTTCCCGACCTCTTCAGTTTTGCAGTAAACAGCAGGGCAACAGTCAATGTAGAAGCAATCAAGGTTGGTTAGTAAAATTTAGAAGAAATTGTACTGATTGGGAAGTGGAGAATATGGCTCAGCTTCTTCAAGATCGACTACCTTATAGCTCACACATTCAGCCTAACAAAGCTGACTCTCATAGGGATATTGTGTATCGTATCAGATTTTATTTTTACAGGAAACTGTATTTTCTAATAGAAATTTACAAAAATTTCACCCTACTAACACAAAAGGCATAATTTTTTTATTATTAAAAGGGTGAAATTTTCGTGATTTTTCTATTAAATAATACATAAGTATGTGACTATAAATAATCATTATATACTGCAAGAATTTATTACACACTGAGTGATGATTATTTCAGAGTTCTACAATTGCTGCAAGAGTAGGTTGCTCATTGTGACTTTGATCTTTGTTGTCACAAGGGTGAAAGGAGAAGCATTTTCAGTTGTATTAGTGTCTTGGGTGTTTATTTCTTCTTCTTTTTTCGCACTTCAACTATTCCAACGATTACCTATCACCTTGATTGATAACTCTGTCTATCAAAAGTAGGTATTCAAAGGCCAAGAAAAGCATTTTATGTCATTAAGAAATTGAAGTCTCAAGTATGTGCAAATGTTATATAATACACCAAGATGAGAGAACCTCCTTATGCACAAAATCAGAGGAGATTAAAGGAAAAGTCAGTATATTATCTGAATGCTTTTCGCGGCATTTTGGCTAAAGATCAATTGTAGTATCTATTCTTATAAATAGCCAACAAAATAATGACCATGTTTAGTTAACGCATATGGTCGATAAAGATACATAGAACAACACAAAGGAAAACTCAAGTTTATTTAAAAGAGACAGATGATTTACAAAGGCCACACTAAACACTCTTTTTCTCTTTTTTTGTTCTTTTTTTTCTTTTCTTTTTTCTGTTACTTTTCATTCTTGAAAAGAGTCGCATATTGCAAGCATAATTGTCCATACATTTGAAAAGGGCAACACAAATGCATTATTCATTATAAAGTTTCATGAATCAGTATTTTGACAGCTTCACTCATTCTCTGAAGCAACTCTAAGTATGAGAATAACGCGCACAAATCCGCTGCTGGATCAGGCTCCTACAAGAAGGACATTCTTTCATTCCCTGCTTCTCATGAAGCTCGTTGCATGTTGTGCATACCACTTGATGAGCACATGGCAGAAAAACCACAGACATCTCCTCTGACAAGCACATGACACACTCACGTTCTCGTTTCACCCCTCCATCCTGAGAATATTCCTCAAAATCTGTCACAAATGTGGAGATATAAGGTATTTCAGTGTCCTTTGGTAATTGAGCATTTCTAAAGTCGGTCAGTTTGCTTGCATAGCTTCCATCTATGCCTCTTTTAAGAGCGGCTATCTTTGAAGAATCGGTCTTTAGTCTGAGCTGGGATATTTCCTTTTCTAGCCTTTCAATATCATCTTTATACTTTTGTAAACTACTTTCAGCTTTTAATTTGGTCATATCCTCCTTGGATTTGGCTGAAGTTTCAATCTGTTCTCTTTCTTTCCTTAGTGAACTAGCCTGCCTAAGTAAATCTTCCGTGGCCTTCTTTTCCTGCTTCCATCTACCCTGCAAGACATTGGCTTGTCGGTAAGATCATTCACTTGTCTCATCGGGAGAACATACATTAGCATAAGAACATAGGTTCAAAGCACAAAGGTCTTTGTATTATGAAAGAGACCTGCAACCTAATAACCATCCCCTTGATATGTTTGCATTTAGCAATTTCAAATACTAAAAGGCAAAAAGGAAGTGTGTCAGATGAGAATCATTGATGATGGTAACAACTCCATCTCCTCCTGGACTCATGGTTGAAGGAAGTGGGTCCTTTCCACTAGACTATCCCTCCCTTGTCAAACTTGACAAATATGCTTCATTGAGAAAGTATTCTTTCTGATGTTGTACAGTTTTTACCAATGCTTAGGTAAGGGTAAAACAAATTCGAATGTCATGTTAAGAGTTTATGATGATGGAAAATGCAAAGTCTCAAGTGAAGCAAGAAATTAAAATCTATCTGTTCATGCTTCTTTGAATCTGCAATCTGAAGTCATCTTCAGTGCTCTCAACCTCAGCGATGCATGTAAGAGGCCAGTGCCAACAACCTACTCCTATAATTCTACATATTACCATTTCGTCTTGAGATCCATTTGAGAAATTTCTTTAAGGTTAATCACTTCGGTGTCGTTTGATAGGATGCATTAGAAAAAATAATGCATGTATTAACTTTGTGTATTACTAATACCTTGTTTGGTGCACTTTTCCAATCTATGTATAATACACTCTATTTGGTAGTATTATGTTAAATATAACTAATACATGGCAAACAAGGGTATAGTAATCCAAGGATTTTTAATGCATGCATTAGCATAGTTAAAAGACACAATAGTCATTCAAAAACTTTTCCACATCCTTCCCAGTGTATTTTAGGAGGGTATTTTTGCAAACAACAACAACAACCCAGTGAAATCCCACTAAGTGGGGTCTAAGGA